TGACGACTTCCTAGATTTAACGAGCGAACATCTGTAGACACGTTTCCTCTAAAAAGATGTTACATATAAAAGCGTCATGAATTTATAATATTATGTACACATAGTTATAATTAATTAAAGCTATGTATTATTTATTTGTTATTTATTATGTTTTTAAAGACGTTTTAATATGTAACAGTCTCTAGTGAACGGTCGATTATTAAAGTAGGAGCATAAAACTGTAAAATGAGTTCAAATAATAACTTCTCGCATAATAACTGATCTCGCTGAATCTTGTAGCAGCCCAATGAGAAGATCACCATTGATCTCAAGGAAGTAGGTTAAAGTATACACAAAAGTAGATTGTTGTCAAAGATTTTTCAGAAGGTCTTACAAGCATAAAATTTTTCAAAGTAATTAAACAGTTTCTGTGATTATAGTACCTACGTAGGCATACCGACAAAAATCGCGCGAGAAAATAGAAGAACCGAAGGTTTCAGGGATCTCCCAAAGACAGCTGGTCGAGATTCCATATGGTCTGTCTGGAGATAGCAGGCGAACCTTAGTTTTATAACCGATACAACAGTTCCTTGGAATTTCAGGCTCAAACGACCACAATACCAACACAAGACACCGGAATGTTTCACTTCGAAGGCGGATGGCCCAAGGATATCAATCCGTTGGATGAAGAGAGCACATCGAGGTTCCGCAGAAGGGTAGAGAAAGAAGACATGTGGGCACCGAGATTAAATAAATTGTTCGGTGTAAGTTGTTGCTTGATTGGAACTTGATGCCTGGGAAATTTTCTAAATAATTCCTTCTTGGGCGTTTTCGATCCCGATCTCTTTCTTTATGCAATACACCTTTCCAAGACAATTGTAAGGAACCGAAATTAAATGAAAATTAATCGTTTCTATCGATAGAAACTAGTTTGACAATATTATTAAATTCATCTTATGCTTTCACGATTTTATATTTTGGCTACTCATTCTTCCGATGTACGCATAAAATCTACAGTCTATCGATCACAATGCCTCCTTTCTGCCTAGTGAAGATGTTTGTCATATATCGAGCAACTTTTTAACGGTGCATTAGTGTGGGCATCAAATGATTGCAACTTTTTATTTGATTAAATGATCGATGAAAACGATTGAATTAATCGATTCATGAATGTAATCACCAGTCGTTGATTAAAGGCATTAATCGTCGAAAAATCAACGATCGCATTGATCGATCGATGAAATTAATCTTTAATCGTCTATTGAAAGAGACAATTAATAATTGTTGATTTTCGACTGGAATTCTGTAACGAATATTCTTCACCATGCTTATTACTTTATTATATTTTTTACATTCCCACTAAATTAAGATTTATTAATTGCGATTAACGATTAAAAGTAATACTTCGATCGTTAATTGCGACTAACGATTAACAGAAGCAATTCAATCGTTAGTCGTTGATTAAGTTTTAGCCAAACTCTGCTGAGCACACATACATATACATATGTATAGCTTATCGACTGAAAATTAGTTTACGTTCATAAAAACTTGTTTCATTGTAGAATTTATTTAACGATTACTAAGCTGCCTCAGTAAACTAGAAAAGCATTTATGAAAGATCCCAACATTGATAAAACGTCAAAACAGGATTATCGTTTGCTATCTGGAAGCGTTTGCTATTGAATTGATAGAAAAAAGCCGCGCAACCTTTGATATCAAAGGATTCAAAACTTAAATTGAGAAGACAGATTTTCAACTGGAAAGTCCAAAAATGATTGAAAAAGGGAAGCAGACTGGTAGATAGAAGATTTTATCGTGCGTGAGATTTGCATTTGCGCATGAAGAATTTCACATGAAATAGATAACTATTGATTGGATTTGCATGACTAATATTTCGTATGTAATCTACCGTGCAAAATGATCGAAATAGAATTTTGCTACAGTGGTGAGTTGTATCCAAAAAAGGCTGAGAAAGTTCTACTCGTATTAAAACAATTTATCCAGCACTAGAATTTTTCCTCTAACTTTCAAATGAACTACAATACTGGAAAAAATAAATTCAGGAATCGAGTTAATGTAGGCGCTAAAAAAAATATAGGTAAGGGAGACCGATTGGGGTTGTAATATTTTCGTGTAATAATATTACGATTACACGAAAGCTATTGCATTTTCGACGACGATTCTAGTATAAACATGTTGCTTACTTATCAAAGATAAGTACTTATTAAGAAATATAGCTTTTTTGTTATATATCTCGGAACGTCTAAGTTAGAAATAAAAAATCGGAAGCGGAAAAAATGTAACACAGCTTGGGGCCGACAGTAACTTCAACAATATTTAAGAAATCGAGACGAGATTATTAAATTATAATAACACATAGAAAAAGGCAAAATTAGAAATACAGTATGAAAAATTACAACGTCTCTTCTTCATTATTCAGTGTCGCAATTATGGTAAACATAATAATTAATTTGATCGGTGCACACCACATATGTACAGTCTTTGTAGTGATAGCATTGGATTCATTTCTCCTTTAGTTCGCTTCTGCTGTAAGGTCCCTGGCATACAAGACAATAATATTCTTTACTTTCTCTCCCTTTTCCTCACGATCTTTGCACATTTTTTATTATTTTCCCCTGCTGTTGTTACAATCGTTCACGATTGCACTTTTGAACTTTAGTTATAAGTTGTCATTAATAACACGATTATGAATGTTAACTAACAACTAATATTTCTTGAAGAAAGTTCCAATTAGAGATTTAAAACAAAAAGGAAAGATATGCTTACTAAAGAAGCAGTTATATCACAATTTTAAAGCTGCAAAAAACTTAACTTTCGGCTACCACAATATTATTGGGTTGGCAACTAAGTAATTGCCGATTTGTTCAATGAAATAAAAAATTTTTTTTTACTTTAATCTGTAATGTATTTTCCATTTTGTTCGATGACCTTTTGCCATCTCTCTGACAACTTGAAAATTCCATGCTCGTAGAAAGTCTGATTCTTTTCGGCCAAAAACTGAGTTAAGTGAGATTTTACAGCGTCATCGTCATTAAAAGTTTTACCACGAAGGGAGTTGTCCAGGGATCGAAATAAGTGGTAATCCGATGGCGCGAGATCAGGGCTATATGGTGGGTGTAACATCAATTCCCAACCAATATCCATGAATTTTTGCCGAGTGGACAAAGACGTGTGCGGCCTAGCATTGTCCTGCTGGAAAATGACACCTTTACGATTGACCAATTCTGGTCGCTTTTCCTTGACCGCTGCATTCAATTTGTCCAGTTGCTAACATTCACGGATAATAAAAAATAACATAATAATAATAATA